ACTCTACACCTGAAACCCTGTTGCTAAGAGTAGTAACACTAGAGTTGGCTCACTGAATCAGTGATTTGGTGAGTCAACTTCTCTGTTAAGTTGTGTTGATTCAAACAGTCCTACTCTCCTGTATGGAGAATTAGTGCAGGGAAACCGCCCCAGAGGGAGACCACAGCTGCGATACAAGGATATCTGCAAGCGAGATCTGAAGGCCTGTGGGATTTTGCCCAGTGAAATTATGGAGGAATCAAAAAAGCCATGGGACCAGAAGTAGGGTATTTTTAATCAACAAAACTTGTCCCTTCCCCATGATGTCATCACCCCTCTGCAGTTATATGTTATGCAGTAGCATTTCAGAGTTTATATTTCAATATTTGTAACTTTATTGTATTTTAATCATACTGTTTTAAATCACATTGTAAGCTACGCTGGGTCCCAGTCCTAGGAGAAAGGCAGCATAAAAACAAAACGAACAAAAAAGGAAATCAAAGGCAATGAGAAGCCTGGGTTATATGAATAAAGCTTTATTTAAATTACCGTCTGTATTTTACAGAATTTGGCTTTTCATTGCCCTTTTTTGTTGTTGTTGTTTAGTCGTTGTGTCCGACTCTTCGTGACCCCATGGACCACAGCACGCCAGGCCCTCCTGTCTTCCACTCACTGCCTCCCAGAGTTGGGTCAAAGTCATGTTGGTCGCTTCGGTGACACTGTCCATCCTTCTTGTCCTCTGTCGTCCCCTTCTCCTCTTGCCTTCATACTTTCCCAACATCAGGGTCTTTTCCAGGGAATCTTCTGTTCTCATCAGATGGCCAAAGTATTGGAGCCTCAGCTTCAGGATCTGTCCTTCCAGTGAGGCTCTCACTTCAATACATCGCTACTGGAAAGACCATAGCTTTGACTATGTGCACCTTTGTCAGCAATGTGATGTCTCTGCTTTTTAATTTCATTGCCCTGCCTTTCTTTAAAGCCAAGTTCCTAAACATGTAGACCCTCCAGATTAAAACTCCCACCAGACCTAGCAAGGAGGGCAAAATAACCAAAACTGATGGCCTTTGAGGTATAAAACACCCCAGAGGACCTCCTGACCAGAAGGCTGTTCTTAAGACTTACTCATTGCGGAAGGAGCAGTGTGCCATACAGAGGAAACACTGGGCCACTAGATGGAATGATGCTATTAACTGGTAAATGTTAGAAAATACTGTCCAGAGCCGAGGGGGGGGGGAGAGATGTTACAAAGCAAAAAAACCAAGTGTGCTGCTTATCTACCACCCCATAGCATTTAAAGCACTCTCTTGTGGGGGGGGGGTTACAATTTAATTATGCTGGCTACACATTGCCACTCCCCCAGCAATCTGGGTACTCAATGTACTGACCTCAGGAGGATGGAAGGCTGAGTCAAACTCTAGTCAGCTTCCTGGGAGTAAACCCAGGTCAAGAGTAGAGTCTGGGCTGCAGTACTGCAGTTTCAAATTAAAAATGAAGGGAAACACTAATTCCCTGAAATTATTAAGTGCCCCCCCTCCACCAGCAACCACAGCTCCCAGAAGAAACTGTCTGAGCAGTCAGTCTTGCAAACAATGCCTGTGTTTACCTTCCAACGTCCAACTACAAGTCACTGGACACAGAACTCAAAGACACATATTGAAAAATGAATAGATTGGATGCTTGAATACTTAATATGAATAGACTGGATGATTGTATGTTGTTTTCTCCTATCCTTAAAACCTTTTTCCCATCCCTTCCACTTCCTTTTACCTTTTACCTATTCCCAGTAGTTTAAAAATAAAATATTATTTTAAAAAAAGACACAGAACTGAGCTGAGACAGAGCATGTGCTTTGACAATTGGATGCCTTCCACAACTTACGTATTGGTTCCTATGACATGCTAACTGTACCCTTTTGTTAAACCCATATGTAGCAACTTGTACCTGAAGACTAACATACTTAAGAGTGCCATCAGTGTTCCTAATCAGAGTTCAGCAAAGGCCTTAAGAAATAATTGTAGTTTTTTGAATATGTAGATCTATGAAAGGAATTTTGAACTACACTCACAGAGCGCTTGTAAAGGAAGTGATGCTTTGACCTACACCAATGTTTTTGAGTTTTCTTCACCATTTGGGCACTTATATTCCGTACTACCCTGTTTCCCCGAAAATAAGACCTAACCTGAAAAGAAGCCCTAGTATGATTTTTCAGGATGCTCATCATATAAGTCCTACCCCCCCCAAATAAGCCAAAGTTCAGTGAAACCCCGCCCTCCACCCTTGTACAGCATTGTGCAGCAAACAGAAGATGACAATATTGTGTTTGAATAAATGTAGATTGTGGTACATGAAAAAAATAAAACATCCCCTGAAAATAAGCCTTAATGTGTGTGTTTTTGTTTTTTTTTGGGGGGGAGCAAAAATTAATATGAGACTCTGTCTTATTTTTGGGGAAACACAGCATTTTAAAAACTGTTACACTTATTCTAGGCTGCCTAAGAGCCATTTCGTGTTACGCTTATTCTAGGCTGCCTAAGAGCCATTTCGATATTTCAATATGCATATGTCTCCCACAGTATGCCTTTCTTTCTTGCTTTCTTTTCTTTTCTATACCGCCCATCTGGCAACTTGGGTCACTCTGGGCGGTCATGAGAAAAGAAATATTTTTCCCTTATGCTCTTGCAAAAATTCTAAAAATGTGGCACGGGGAAAGCCTGCTTCATGTTATTTCAAGAAAGCCAAGTTCTATTCAACTCTTCTTCCTCTTACCTGATCCCAGATTTTCAGCATGTCCACGTTTTCCACCTTCCTAATTTTTTATTATTGTAAGAAGACATGGGATTGAGAGAAACCAAACTGATAGCCTTGAAAAGGGAAATGTATGAGTTCCCAGTTGCCATTCTTAGTAGTGGTAGAAAGCAGAGTTTGGACTGGTGGGTACTGCAACCCTTTAGCACAATTTCTTCTAGGCATGAGGCACGGTGAGGTTAAGGAGTGAGCACTTTATTTTATTTTTGCAGAAATGTTTATCTTAATTACAGCATGGGCCATAATATTTTATGGACGGAACTGTCGCCTAGCCTAACCAGCCTAATTAGGGCTTACTATCCCCAAACCATCTAGGTACAGCAGAAGAAACCAAGGGAGGATGCAAACTGAAGGAGGCCTGAAGAATGCAAACAAGCTCTCCAACTTCTTGAAATCTATTACTCTACGGGTTGCACCTTTTAAAGCGACTCCCCTCCACTCAGGCAATGCCAGTCTTTGTCTGTGCTTGGAAAAGTTATTTTGAACTACCACTCACAAAATCTCCCAGCCAGCATGGGCACAAAGACTCAAGAGAACTATCATTCAAAGATGGCCATTCACTAGCTCTGGTCTTTCCACTTTAAATAACAATTAAAGCATGTTTTCAAGTCAATTCTGATTTATGGCAACCCTTTTTAAGTTTTCTAGGTAGGGATTACTCAGAAGTGGTTTACCATTCCCTCTTTTAGTTGGAATAAATTAGGATTAGAGATGGGGGCATTCGTATGACTATGTATATGAATATCCCCGCACAGCTGGATTTAACGAGGGACTGGCCCCTGTGGCTGGCCCATCCGCGGCAGCATCACTAATCCTTCCAACCCCTCCCGGAGATCCGCTCTCTTCCTGCTCAGCTACTGACTCAGCAGGGAGACGCGTCCTCCCTCCTACTGCCTGGAGTGGCCAGGTAGGCAGGAAAAGAGTGGAGCTCCAGGAGCCATTGAAAGGACGAGAGAGGCTGCCGCCACCACCACAGGACACGTTGAGTGGACAGGCCGGTCACAGGGGCCGCCCCTTCATTAAGTCCAGCCCTGTGGGGATATTCGTATTTGTATACATATTCGTACGAATACGAATACCCCCATCGCGGGTTATTAGGATAGTTTATCCAGGCTTAATTGGGAAAACAAACCCATGTTAGGGCTTTAGGTTGGTTTAGGTTGGGAGTTCGATTCCCCACTGTTCCTCAACAGGGGCTAGAATTGATGATCCATAGGGTTTCTTCCAGCTCCACAGTTCTAAGATGATGATGAAGAAGAACATACGTTGGTTCTAAGGACCAATTTCTCCCCATGGAAAAATGTCCCATTCCTTATTCACAGACATGTGGTAAGCTCAGGCACCTAATAACCAAAGCTAAAACTGCATTACCTTGTTTGTTTGATACGCCACCTTTTTCTTGATAAGAGAACACAAGAAGACTCGTCATATTAAAAAGTCTTTAGAGACCTCCTTTCATACAGCCCTTGCCCGGGTGAAAGCAGGATCGGAGAAGGCCTCACGAGCTGCAGTGTAGCTGAACTAGCTACCCCAAAGGCTTATCCAGAATCTTAAAAAAAAAAATAAATAAATAAACCTTCCCAGCACCAGCACTGAAAATTTTTTTATGACCTCTGAAAGACCTTTGGGATTCATGTTTTTGTTTCATGATGAAATGAAAGCATTGTGTTGCAAATGCTATTCTTAGGTGAGATGTATAATGAAATCACCTAAGACGGTTTTAGTAGGAGTTCAGCGTTTCATGTTTTACCTTTTTCTCCAAGTAAGGGAGGCTTGCTTGTTCCTTTTAGCCTTCACCAAGATGATTCCTAAGCACTTCCTAAAAAGTCTATTACTTTTGAGGGAAATGTGGGAGGAGAATGCAGCATTTGTGCCACATCTGGCTCTTGACAGATACCGGCTTTCACATTATGTTCACACCTACATGTCTCCTACAGATGTATTTGACAGGAAAAGTAGTGGAAATTTGTTCTCTACCACAAGTTTCAGATCTACTGCCAACTTATAGGAGTCACTTTTTTTTTAAAGGATTTTGCTTTTGGATTACCCCTTCTACTACTGTTGTTGTTGTTTGCACCCTTTAAAATGTACTGCCCCTTTAAAATGTTCTCAAGAGGCATGCAAAAAAGCAACTCTGCCTGTTTCAGGCACTGGTTAGCTCTAAAACTCTGCAGCAGAAAGAAAAACACTGGTCAGAATCAAGAAGGGCTAAAGGATATGATTTGTTATAAATTTATTTCATCTTCAGTATTTCAGTTTGCACCTTTGCTCCAGCACTTTTTAAAATAGAATGATTCACCCATGGCAGCATCTGCCAAGTCTACATTGAGTCCCAGTCAATGTTCTTAAAAGAGGCTTAGCTTAATTCCGTTAAACTGTGTTGTGTTTGGTGTTGCATATGACAAGTTCTACTCTTGGATTTTCTTCCCCCACCCCATCCCCAAATTAGCAGTGTCAAGGTTGTTTTTGTTTCGTTTTTTTAGTTTTTTTTTTAACAACATCCATCTGTGAAGACTCATATGTACAAACTGTGACCTGATAATCCCGAAACAGTAGTCAGTCAGACAGGAAGGGGATTATTATCTTTTTCCACACACTCTTATCACCTCTCTCTCTCTCTTGGTTTGGAAACAAGAAACCCTTAAGTTCTACCAAATATTTAAATGGCAGGAAGAAAAATATACAAGCTTGTATTTATACCACACTTCTATCAATGGCAACAGGTTGTAAATTCATGTTTGCAACTATCACAAAAGACTCATAAACACCAACTCAGCTTTATACTGTAAATACTGCTGGATCAATGGTTTAGGATTATCAATCATTGTTGTCATATGTCGTCTATAACAGTTCAAAAGTGCTCTGGAGAAAAATCCTGAAAAACACATACCTTACGGTATATAATAATGCACCTGCATTAGCTAAATATATACTGTACACAAGTCTTATCAGCATTTTATCTACCAAAGATGTGAGATTCCACTCTTAAATACAAAGCAGATAGCCAGTAATGTATATTTATATTACAGCCCTCTTTTTTTGTTTTGTTTTTGCTTTGTTTTTGTCCTTAAACAATTTGGTCACAATGCACTTTTGATATAAAATCATTTTTAAATTTTATTATCAATACTCAGGACATTAGGTTTGCCAGAACTGGAATATTATCTTTTCCTTTTCAGTAGTTTCAGTAGTGTTTTGAGAATCATTTTTGGTAACAAATACAATAATTGGGAATTAGCATCCAAGTTCAGAAGGCTGAAGTATGTTACCTAAAATTCATTCCAGGTCAAAACTGAAAAGATGCTGCTGTGATGAGAAACAGTAGTAAGAGTCGCAAAAACACCACAAAACCCTTTTTATTTTCTTCACAAGCAACATCTTTTCCTTTTCTGCATATGGCTGGAATGTTTAATAAATATGTCGTAAGAAAGGTAAGGCAACAACTTCAAACAATCCAATTTGTTTGCTCAACTTCCTCCCATCGCCCCCCCACCCGACACAATCCATGATAACCATGTAAGACCATTTCACTGAAGTATTTTTGCTTGTTTGTTTGTAAATGGTTTTCTAATGGCTGAAGGAAAATGTATATACCAACACAATAATTTAGCCTCAGTATTATCAACACAAGTCTGGTCTTATTATTAATGGTGTACCACTAATACTGGTTGGATACTGAAGTCTGCATTGTTTCCACTGCACACTTTGACAAGGATTGGCAAAATGGGCTTGGATTCACAATCTGTTCATAGAAAAACCCAGAGCACACTTGACCAATACTGTTAATAACCACCTTATATTTACTCAAAATGTTCACACTGAAAGAGCACCAAAAGAAGTCTGGTACTCAAGCTATTTATACCAGGAAAAAAAAATCTCTTTGAATTAAGGACCTCAGTTTTGTTATTTTCATGGCCCTGACCTGTATCAACATTCAACTCATGGAGATGTGCAAACAGGAAAAAAAAGAAAAAGGTCAAATTACATCATAGTTATCCAGAAGAGAAAGATGTTACACAAACTCATAAGAAGTGACAATCTTTTTTCTCTCTTTTACTATAAATACATTTAACAGTTTAGTTGAAAGACAAGCTAAATTTAAGATTGTTCACATTTGAAGTTGTATCACTCTCTGCTAATGATAAATAAGGAACAGTGCAACGGTTCCTGACAATGGAATTTGGACTTAGCAATTTCAGCAAGAGATCTTTTGAAGACTGGTTTAAAGAAGGGTTAAAACAATGATTATTTTTGCAAAGTTCTGAGAAGTCCATCTGTTGTCCAAACTTTGGATTGAAGTCCTTAGCTTTTTTTTTCTTTACTTAAGAGACAGATATATACAGTGCTGTTGTAATAATGAAACAAATGTGAAATCTACTGTAAAGTTGCACAATACAGAAAACTGTTGCTCCATCTTCTACTACATACATGTGTGACTCCACAGGTTAATTAATGCTGTTTTGTTTCTTTTTGTTAAGTTGGGATGATTCCATCACGTCTAAGACCTCGTTTTAATTCCAAATCCTCCAGTTTCTTCCATAATTCTTCCCGTTCCTTCTCTTTTTTCTTTTCACTAGCAAATTAAAACAAACAAACACAGAGACATTAGCAACAAAAACAAGATACGTAAAGAGTCTTGTTCCACCTTGTGGCTTACCATAATGCACCTGGAAAAGAACCCTAAAATTAATGATGCACTCAGTATATTGGGATTTGGGGATTCCCTTAAAATCATAACACAAAAACAACTCAGAGGCTGCACAGCATAATGCAATCAGGAACCAATCCAACTGGGTGATGGCTTGTAAGCATTTAGCTTCATCAAGAGCCTTCATTAAGAGCCTCGTGGCGCAGTGGTTGGGATTCCCTTAAAATGCTAACACAAAAAAACTCAGAGGCTGCACAGCATAATGCAATCAGGAACCAATCCAACCGGGTGATGGCCTGTAAGTATTTAGCTTCATCAAGCTTAGGAAGGGTTTACAGTCAGATCACTGGTTCCATTTGCTGATTTATCATGTTGCGCACTTGCAACATGACTGTCACTCTCGTATTGGCCTTCTCAGCCACACTAGACGCTGTTCCAAGACCTCTATTCAGAGCACGTTACCATAGTCTCTCGAGACTGAAGAATGCCTACTCATGCACTTGCTCACATTTCTTTCATGTTATTTATTAAAACCTGCCTTCTACCAACAAAACAAAAATAGTTGAAAAGGAATAAAATGAACACAACTAAAAGAAACATGCTTTTGTAGATTTCTCTGAACAACAACAAAATGAGGTCATTCTTGTATCTGAATTGTCAAATACTGTGGTGGAGCTCTTAGTTCCTTCCTATTCATTTCCAATTAAATTTTATTATCAGCCTACATTAATTGGCTAAATTTCAATAATACAGTATTGCTTGCTTTTCTTCTCCTCTATGCTATGCTTTAGAATGATTATTACACTTGCAACATTTATCTTAATTCTAGCATTGGGAATGCAGCCAGATGAACAAGAAAAAAAAGAGAGGAAAAATTCAGCAACCAACACTTCACAAAACAGAAACTGTTATTTAACTTTTTATTTGTTATTTATAATATAAGCATCTGCTGAATCAGTTTGACAAAGTCCTAATCATCTAGTTAACACATAACCATTTAACTTTATTGTAATGTCCTGCAATGACTGAAGATACACACTGTATGTATATTCTTAAACCAAATTCTTAACTACAGCCCTGAACTTATTTATTCTAAAGGAACCTAATACTTGCCTCCAGATCTCATGATCAGCTCTTATTATGAGCATATAAATTATTCAAAAAACAAAACCCCAAATCCTCTTAAGATACCAGAAACACAATCAGCGCTTCACTGCTGGATAAGGGTCAGTCAGTTTTTTGACATACTGTATTTTTCCGTGTATAAGACGACCCCCACTTTTCCAACCCCAAATAAGAAAATTTGATCACTGCTTTCCCCCTCCACTTCACAAGCAGAATCAAAGGGCAGCAGAAGTGGAAGGGGAAAGCAGCGATGAAAGGGCTGAAGGTTTGCAGCCCTTTGATCCTGCAGCCCTTTCATCACTGCTTTACCCCTCCATTTCCTAAGCCTTGCGGCGCTGATGAAGTGCAGGGGTAAAGCAGCCATGAAAGGGCTGGAGAATCAAAGGACTGCAATCCTGGAGAATCAAAGGACTGCAATCCCCCTTACTTCCGTGTATAAGACAACCCTCAATTTTTAGTCTAAAGATTTTAGATAAAAGTATCATATTATACACGGAAAAATATGGTAATCTGCATAAGATATGCAAAATGGTCCACAATATTTGAGACTATTTCAAATACGCAGCAACCATCTATTCCACTGTAGTTTTTTTTTCCTACATGGTCCTAGAATTATACAGATCTCCTGGCCTAGCTTAAACAAAAATATCAACATCAGTCATACAAAGTCTGTATGTACCAGTCATACAACATATGAAAAACAGGTGTTCTTAGTATCCTGCCATTTATAATTTTAAATATATATATATTTTAAAAAACTGCCCAAGCAGTGAGCTACAAAAGCTGGTGATGGAACTGAATAACATTACGGCCTCCAAAAATGTGTGAGAGGCTATACTAACCTAACAAGGCTTGATGACATACAGTACCCTTCGCTTTGCTTGTGGGAACCCCGAGTCTCACAAAAGACACGACTTTCACCAAGTCGCAAACTGCCCGGAGTTCCCGAAGTTTCCTCATTAGTTTCACCTGCTGCTTTGGATAAGCTGAAATTTCAGACAAAAGATGATGCACTATAATTGGAGAAGGATGATTAAGGAAAAGACAGAGAAACATTTTAACTAAGTGCAACTAATGACTGTATGGATGGCACTTCTTCTAGACCTTGCCATGTCAAAGCCTTGGATGTATCAAGATACTTGGAGAAGGGAAGCTAGAAAGTGTGAAAGGTTGTCACTTTGCTTAGAGGTTTCAGTAAAGGCCAAACATGAGTCATAAAGGGATAAGTCAAATGCAATCTCGACTCAGCAAAAGGTCCTATTTATTTCAGAAACACATCTTCAAGCAAAGTGATGGCTTTTGTTGCGTATGTGACGGGGTTTTGCAATTTAATTTTTTTTTACTGATTAATCTCTTGATACATTTAAGTCTTTAAGAACATAGAGCCAAAAGAAGTTCTGTGAGGAATGCAAGTTCACAAGCTACGCAATGGGTACTGTATCTCATAAAGGGAAAAAATACAACCATTTATACATCTTGCAAGGGCCAAGCTAATGAGCATGCAGGGAGGGGAAAAAATGAGGCATTGCAATCAATTGTGTGTGGAAAATTATGCAATTACTGTAAAGTGTAAAAAAAGGAAAGAATTAAAAAGACTGAAACTAAAACAGCAGGCTTTTATGCACAGCTGACCAAAAAAAAATGCTTTAAAAAGTTACCGCTGGCGATCTGACTTGTAAGTGGCTGTCAGCTCATCAAACATGGCGCTGTTCATTTCCATAAATGCCTTCAGCACATTGTATACTAAAGCCACAATAGCCCTGTGAAATAGGGAGAGAGAGAGAGAAAATAAGCATCTGCTCCTTTATATCACTCAAACAATAACAATAAAACCCTGTTTTGATCTCAAGTGACAGTCAAATTCCTTATATTTCAATTCCTAAGATTTTGGCTCATTTGAGTTAGCACCATGCTCCATTTAGCCAGTTGTAGCAGCTTCAACTCCTACACATTTCTCATGCTTCCTCATACTAACAACAGCATTGAAGCATTGAAGCATAGTATGAGGAAGCATTTCTCATGCTTCCTCATACTAACAACACTATTGGACATGCTGAGAGACATGTTTGGGTTGGAAAGACTGCAGTGTGACATGACTTTCGTGGAACTTCTGTGGCACAGACATTCTCTTTTTTTCATCTCTCAGAAACTCTTCTAAACACTTCCTGCAAACCGTACTAGAAAAACCAGAACTTTTAAAGGTACTGAACTCTGAAAATTGGATCCAGAGCAAGCCAGCTTCCTGCTGCTCCCCCAGTGAATGCCAGAACCTGAGAGACTTATTATTTTGGATGGGAACCCCCACAGTGCTACCTCGTGACCATTTTGTGTTGGAGGATTCTAGGAGCTGTGGGCCAAAATGTAACTTTTTAAAGCTCTGGATCTGTTCTCACACTTTTGTCCATCGTTTGATTAAGAGGACTCAGTCTTGAAAAATAAAGAACACAGAAGCATTAGAGCCCCTGCCAAGTAACATGCTACATCAAAGCATGGAGGGAGGTTCATGCTTCTCTAATTCACTTTCAGTATGAACCTTAAACTAGAGAAAGTATGCCCTAGTTTCAACAGATAGTCCACAAATAAATTGATCTGTATTGGTAAAGCTTTTTCTTATGCTTATTCACATATATTTTTGTGAGGTTACTTCTTCTGGATAGTACAAGACTGCTTCGGTTTTCCATGTTTCCCTGCACTATACTTCCTCTCTGCTCCACTGAAATAGACTGGATATTTTGCTCCTCAGAGTACAAGGTCCTGAGGTCTTACAAGAGTATGCTTGAAAAGAGAATAGCTTGTAACACAGCTTTTTATACAGTTTGTCCACCACAATAAAATAATGGAGAGATTGAGCCCAGAGGAGCTACCTAAAAAGATTTACACAGACACTGTCAGGAAAACAAAGGAAAACAAACCTAACCCCCCAATCTGGGTACTGCCACTTTAAAAAAATCTTGATGTTAAAAAAGAAAAGAAAAGAAAGAAGTTATTTAAAACTACTTTATTTCTCTTTTCTGGAACATATTATACTACCAGCTTGGAATGTTATTATAATTTTCTATGCCATTTTCCAGGCAAGTTCTGGAAAAAAACTTTTATGTCTGTGATGCATTATTTCTGACTTTTACTAAGTGAGGGTAGGGGATTAATATGTATATTTTTGGCATCTTTCATCTGTATTAAATATTATATTGTCCCAGGAACATGCCTACATCTCATGAAAGGTTTTAAGCAAGTAAACAGAAAGTGTGAGCTTATTGTTTACTTGCACAACTTCCTACTTACCTAGCCTAAACATGCAGTGGTGCCTCGCTTGACGATAATCTGTTCCAGCAAAATCGCTGTAGAATGAAATTGTCGTCAAGCGAAAGTACAAATCCCACTGAAATGGATTGAAAGCCGCTCAATATGTTCCAATGGGTGAAATACCTCAGCACCCAATGAAGATCCTCCATAGGGAGACCATTTTTCTGGTGCCTGTAAAGCGAAAAATTCACCCTAAACACAGCGGGGAGCCATTTTGAACTGCAGGCTGCCATTTTGAAAACCCGACGATCAGCTGTTTTGATCATTGTAAAGCGAAAAATCGGTTCCTGAAGCAGGGAACTGATCATCGTCAAGCGGATTTTCCCTATTTAAACATTGTTTTGCTATTGCTATTGCAATTGCAAAAACCTCATCGTTAAGTAATCTCATTGTGGAGCGGGGTAATCGTTAAGCAGGGCACCACTGTACAAACTATGTATGAACCAGTTCAATGTGAATTGTGATGAGTAGCTTTCTTTGCTGTTGACCTAAATAATTCTTTTGAACAGGGGTAGGCAGGCTTCAGCTTGTTAAATCTGCATTGCTTTTTACTAGAAATCACAGTGCCACCAATCACAGTAATTGCAAAATTTGGAATGAAAGAGCAACAGTACTACTGAACATATTCTGAAACTCCTATTCTGAGCCTAGAATTTGTTTTAGTACCAGAACTAAACAGTTCACTTCTCCTTTCACACAGAGCTGCACTTCTGGTTACTCACAGCCCTCTTCATTTCAGGAGCTCTAAAGAAGTTGTAACATTATTGCTACTATTCAGCTAGCTGGGGACAGAACCCACTGACAATCTACTGCAAATTACTCAGAAAACCCAATCTACCTTCCACATGTTCCTGCTTTAGAAAACCCATTAAAAGTGTTCATTAATTTCATGGGGTTGACAATCAAGTAACAGGTAACACAATTGACTATAATAACAAATCATTCCACCCGTGTGCACAACATGTTCCTTCTATTGTAATTCTGAAGCAAATATGGGTTGGCCATAGTGACAGCTCTTTCAGAAATCCAAGCACATATCCCAGAAACATACTACCTGCCTACAGTTACATTGTTCTGACTGTGTACTTCCAAATTAAGGACAGTAGGACCCCTGCATCTGTGGGGGATCAGTTCCACAATCTACCGTGGAGGCCTGAAACTGCAGATACAAGGGAACCCTATGTCCAACATACAAGGAGGCGGGACAAAGACCACAAGGAGGCATCCTTGTATGTTGTATATAGGGCTGCAGCAAACCACAGATACAGTGGTGCCTTGCTAGACGATGATAATCTGTTCCAAAGGGGAAGAATCATCGTTGTCTAGCGAAGATCGGCCATAGGAAAGCCGCTTTGTGAACTGCTGATCAGCTGTTTAAATAGCTGTCTTGTGAAGCTTAGGTCCCGAAAACACCCGTTTTGCGAGCGTGGAGGAAGATATCAAAATCGTTGTCTAGCAAAAATTGGTTTGCAAAGCAGGGACCAAACATTGTCCAGCGAAATTCCCCCATAGGAATCACTGTTTCGCGAATCGCTATAGTGATCACAAAAAGTCAATGTCTAGCGAAAAAACTGTCATGCGGGGTAACTGTCTAGCGAGGCACCACTGTATTGACCCCACAGATGCAGGGGTCCTACTGTACGTTCAATATCAGGTTTAGTTGTGCTGGAAATAGTGGGTTTACCCCAGATAATTTATATTTTAGTCTACAGGACACCGTATTAAAAATGTTTAAACATAAGGCCCCAGATGTGATGAAAAACAGTCACCACCAAAAATACCCCACTTACGGATTCCAGTGTTCTTTAGAAATCCTGTACAGACTGGAAAACATGATGGGAAGTATTACATTGGAATTCTCTTCTATCAAACTCATGATGTATTCATTATTCCAATAGTACAGAGCTCTCTCAGCCACCTTGAATGAAGGGAAAATAGTATTCTGTTATTTCTAAAAGTTGAAAGAAAACAAAATGACAGCACAATAACAAAAAACATCAAAGCAAAATGAATTCTGTGTGTGTGTGTGTGTGTGTGTGTGTGTGTGTGTGTGTGTGAGAGAGAGAGAGAGAGAGAGAGAGAGAGAGAGAGAGAGAGAATATCTGTGTGTGTGAGCGAGCGAGCAAGAGAAAGAAACCTTATCAACAGTAAAACAGATACTCCAGGAAACAAGATTCCAGGCACATGCAATGTCTGAGTGAGGTCTTCCAGAATTGTGTATGTATCTATCCATCAACCAAATCATCTAGTCTTCCCCAAATAACGTCTTCCCTCCCAACCCAGCCCACTAGTATTTCAGCTGCGCGTAAGAGTCCCTATGTATACAGACTTCAAAAAATATAAAAATAAAAATGAGGACTCTACTGATTCACAGGTATAAAATGAAGTACAGTGGTACCTCGCAAGATGAATGTAATTTGTTCCGCGAGTAGTGCTGCCTTGCAAAAAAATCATCTTGCGAAAAGACGATTGCATTGCAATGCATTCCTATGGGAACCTCGCAAGACGAATGATTTTTTTTCGTCTTGTGAGGCATCGGACTTGGGGAAAAAAAGTCTTGCGACACACAGCCATAGAAGAAGCCGTCTTGCGAGGCACCATAGCAATCGAAAAAACCATTTGTCTTGTGGTTTTTTCGTCCCACGAGGCATTCATCTTGCGAGGCACCACTGTATTTTGAATGGACTTTTCATTCCTGTATACATTTATGTGCAATACAGAATTAACCCCTGACTTTCTAGCTGCAATACTCACCTGAAAGTGAGGGCTAGAAACGCATTTAGCTATTTGTTTAAACAAAGGTTCTTGAATTTTGACAAACTGTGAAGGTTCAATCACATCCAATATTTCTTCCAGCTCCCCAAGGAACATGACCTGAATAGACAAAGGAAGTATGAAATTCAGCAGTCTTCCGTTTAAGATTTTTCAGCTAGATTTTGAAGGAAGTATCAGTAGCTCAGCTTACAGCCATACAAAAATAAATAAAATAAATAAATAAAAAGATAATATACAGAAGGAATATATGCAGCTACTAGGTGCAACGATGACATACATTTGGAAAAGAAATGCAAAAATCAGTATCTTTTGGTGAAGAACTTATACACTTTAAGTGTTTAAAACTTTGCACACAAGATTAAGCACAGGGCCTCCAAATGCCACACTTCAGAGCAGATAAATGTTTGTATTATCAAGAACAAAGCTGGTAGGCAGATTAATTTTTCCTGATGGCATTAAGAGGTAATTATTTTACTCCTACAACAAAATGGAACATACAATAGTTACTATTCAAAATCCTAAGTCAGGCTGCTGTCAAACATTGTGCAAGACAAGGAGCATAACACCCGAGTACCAAATGACACATGTCATAAAGACATGTTCATAGAATAATTCAGCAAGAATGTTCAAGCACTGTAATAAAAATATTATTTATCTTATTTATCTATCCTATCTCTCATTTAGCGAACTCACTGCAGTATATATGATTATCCTCCTTTTTTAACTCACAACCTTGTAAGATACACTAATAATGATTGCTGCAAGTTCATTTTGTGAGTTCCACAGCTGAGTGAGCATCTGAACCTACATCCTTTTCACCCAGCACTTAACTATTACAACCCTAGTGATTTTAAACTCTAAGGGGAAAAGCCTATGAAAAATCAAGTGTTCAACTCTTCATCTGTTATTGATCTCAATACTATAATTTATAGCACTTCTCAGTGATACTCAAGGGAATTGGGTCTGAAGGACCAGATAAGAGGGCACTAGTGGATTTGGGGGAGCATCGTGCATTCCTCTTACAGTAAATCAACTGGAAGAAGTTGCTTCTGTTCATGCCCACAGGTATCTCAGAAGAATGAATGTAGAAAAGCTGCATCTGAGCTCACGGATTGTTTGTATTGGCCAAGACAAACCTAGCTATAGATGTGCTAAGAAATGACCCAACGAGCTTTTATTCTCCCTTACATGTGCTCTTTCACTAAGTGAAGGTTGGTATCAGCACCAATATAAATCCCTAAAAATGTGTTAGGAGGAAAATTTGCAAATCAGGCCTAAATGGTCTAGGTTTTACACATGCAGATACCTGTACTGTACGCATACAAGTTTTACACATAATCATCAAAAGAGGTTTGCACAATCCTAATTTTCAACATCTACTATGTCTACACAGGGTATACAGCATGGACCTGCACTTTCATCACTCACTTATATGAACAGATATGGCCCCAATGTCCTTGTTCCCCTTGGATTCCATTTCAATGAGAAAGCCAACCTAAACTTCAACACCTACCTCTTTCTGACTGCAGGTTTTTGGCCAGAATTTCATTAAACCTCTAATGACCTAAAATAAAGCACAAGGGACAAAGCAAACATAAATACACAGCTCTGTGAAGTCAATGTTCAGGATAAGAATGTGTACATATGTGGATACACAGATCTTATTTACCGGCTCTGTAAGCGAAGGGTCTTTCTCCAGAAACTGAACTATGCAATATGCCAACTGCAAAAAAGAAGAAAACAAGCAAATTAAGCAAAGTAACAAAAATATTCTTAAGGTGCTTAATTTATTTATTATTTCATGTATTTACAATATTTTTACTCCACCTTTCTCCTGAGAAAAGGACCCAAGGCAGCTTACATCATTGAAAGACAGTATTTAAGAACAAAACAATGAGTATACAAAGCTGGTGTACATCATTAAAAGGCAATATTAAAAGCTAAATACACTGTATAGAAATATTAAAAAGGAACAAATAAATACCACTCTGAGAAATGGGAAACACGAGCAATAATAAAAACACAGTCAAAACAGTCAGTCACTGAGGGAAAGCTTGCCTGAAGAGAAAGGTCTTCACCTGCTTGTGGAAAGACAACAAAGATGGGGCCAGCCAAGCTTCCTGTGGGAGGGAGTTCCAAAGTCTGGGAGCAGCAGCAGAGAAGGCCCATAAACTTTGATCATAACTACTGTGAACTGCCTGCCTGCTGAAGTGCTGATTTTAACTCCTTCCAAGCAGTCCCTTACAACTTACGTAACTGCACAGGAGGGTTGAGAAACCCTTCTGAAATAACAAAACAAGTTATGCAAGGGTATGAGGGAACCGTTGAGATGTACAATTTCTTGGGTCCAAGTTATATTTTGCTGGAAGTAGGCCCCCTTTCAAACAAAACGGGGGATATGTGGAACTTCATCTAAACTGCAGCGAAGGCCACAATACTAAGTCCCTTGGAATGCCCAAAGAATGTGATAAATGTGGATTTCTAAACCATCTGAATTGAAGCACTTTTTCTTTTACTTTTTTTGGCAACACCGGGGCATCTTGTGAGATGTGCTGGCATGGCCAAAAGCTGACAGATAAAGAGACTTAAGCGCATAACGATACTGGAAGTAGAGTGTAAGGAGTGCTGTCCCTATGGCTCTGGAACAGAGGAAGCATATGGTAGCTCAAAGAGATGCTGTCAAGAACAGTGTAAAGATAAGAGAGAAGAATATCATAGAATTTGTGCTGGATGTACAGAAGTGCAGCAAACAACAAGGCAGTTCATTGGGCCAAGAATGAACACAGTGGTTACTGTTGTGCATACTACTGCTTTACAACAGATAAAATCAACTTTTAATCCTTGTCAGTCTTCTCCCCAGGAAAACAGGCCCTCCAGAAACATGCAGAAGCATTTTCACTTTAGCTTCAGCATTGCTGGCAGCTCATCCTATTTCTGTCCACCTTCTTTTCTGTAACCCCTAGGTGTTCAGTGAGTTAACCAATGTCAGATTTCAATGCAAGTTTGAAACCTGTGTGCCATCTCTAACACTAAACTGCCATTTCCACATCTCTGCTAAACTAGTTATACTCTCCTGTACACAACGGCCTTGTATCTCCCCTAGTATTTTAGCACTCGGCTGTGGTCAAAGTAGGCAAAACATTAGAGACCTGCAATAAAATTTCCAATCTCTTTACATTTCTTTGAAAAACAGTTTTAAGGGTGGGCTATACTGGGGCCATAGAGATACTGGGTGCTGGGGGGTTCTAGTTTACCAAAATAAACATTCTCCATAATTCCCATTTGCCACTACTCCCTATGTTTCTCCTAGAAGGGCAAGCAGCATGAATTTACACTGTGGAGCTATCATGGTAGGTGGTGGGAAATTAAGGGAAAGCCTATTTTGCAATCTCATACTAAGCCCAACGCCCATCAGGCTTGGCCCTTTGCTAACAAACTACAGGCGTGAAATGCCCTTCCTCCACCTGTGGCTTTTAACCTTGATCACGCTTCAGATAAGGATGGGAGGACTCTGAGAAAACAATAACTATTTGCTGTACAAGTAGAGGAGGCCACCCATGTATAATCCAGGAGGGAGAAGAAAAAACAGACCACACAACTCGAGGCAGGCAAATTAAAGCAGAAACCTAGGAAGAGCTGGCTGATGCATTCTGCAACAGGAAGATGCGCCACTTCCCCACTATCCATAAACAAAATAACTTTATAAGGTGCAGATACATAATTCTGTTCTGTCTAGGGACCTGTATTTTGTTTTGGAAACGCCGAGCTAGGAAATGGACAAGATGGTTGTTTGTGGTCATTTTTGTTTTTAAGCAAAAGCAGAAATGCCCTGAAAACTACTTCTCCGTTTGATTTCTGGATTGGGGTGGGGCACAGGGTCCTGGAGGTTCCTAGAAGTGGGGGGAGGGAAGGAGGAAAGAGCTTCTTTGGGAAGCCTGTGAAGGGTCTCGAAACATAACACAAGGTACGCTTTGCTCACTCTTACCACGAGGCATTAAGAACAAACCAAATCAATTAAACAGAGCACAGAATCTTTTCATATGATCTGTTCAGCCGGTTATTTGCACTTATTTGTTTGTTTGTTTTATCTGTAGGCCACCTTTCTCCCAAGGCAGCTCACAATATTGAAAAGAACAGAATTAAAAACAGTATAATTTAAACAATAAGAAACGATGAAACTATTTGCAAATTAAAATACAACTGAATAATTAAAAGCAAGTAAGCATTTACTAAAAGCAAGTAAACTCCCTTAACTTCAGATCAGAATCACATCTTGTGCTACTACACTTTTTAAAACATAGCTCGGACTTTATTGCTTTGTTGACAAAGCACAACAAGAAGAAAACTCCCAGAGCTAGCAGTCTGATGGTATTTATTGTAAACGGATGCAACTGTCCCCAGAGCAACTTTCCTGGAAGCAGTTATTTGGCAAGGTGCCACATACATGCCTGGTATATAAATGGTGACATGACCCGGCGCACACTTGGTTTTTTTGCCAAATTGTCACCCCTCCAACTGTAACTCCACGCACAAGATAAATATGAACAAGATATTAATCCATGTGTTCACCAAAATCTGGACGTTCCAGTTTTTTTTTTTCCAGAGAAGCACAATAAAAAAATTCTAGTTCAATAGTTATACCTTCAGTATAGGACAGTGTCACAAAATTCTAATAAAAATGTTGAAGAAAATATATCTAATAGTTTGTACCTGTGCATGGAAGAGTGATAGACTCCTAACGGTATGTAGAGGGATGAGCACTTTCACCAAAAATTGTTTATGTTCTGCTTTAAGAGGCAAGGCAAAGCCATTGATAATACTAGAAAAGAAAAAAGAAGTATTTCCAGTTATTATAGAACCCCATAAATGTACTCTAAAATGAACAATACCTGATCAGAGCTACACAAGTATTAGGCATCAGATCAAGTGTATACATACACAAACCATGATCTAAATATACCTGACAACAGGGTGATCATGAAATGTTTATCATAAACAGAAAAACATATTCATTTATTTATGAACAAAAGTGGTCCATGTTACTGGCGGGGGGGGGGGGG